CCCCCGGCGCCTCCCACCGCCGCGCCGGGCCGGGAGGGAGGGAGCGGGGAGGGACCGGGGGAGGGACCGGGTAGGGATCGGGGGAGGGCAGGGAGGGAGCGAGGGCCGGAGGAAGCGATGGATGGACGGAGAGATAGAGGGAGGAACGGAGGGAGCAAGGAACGGAGGGATAGAGGGAGGGAGGGATGGAGGGACGGAGTGATACCGTGGAAAGCTGGAATTGAAGAATTTACGGGTATCAGGAGGAAGGGATGGATGGAGGAAAGGATGGAGCGAAGGAGGGAGGGAGGGAGGAAGCAAAGGTGTTTGCAACCGGCAGCGGGGCCGGGAACCTGCCCTGCAGAGCCCGGAGGAATCTATAGGAACCTGCCCTGCAGAGCCAGGAGAGCTGCCAGAGAGGTGGGCTGCGTGCCCGTAACACAGCAATCACAGACAAATCATTGTCCGTCTTCCCCTTTCCCCCCAAAGAGCTGAAAATCATGTTTACCGAGTGCCTGAACGAGACTGGATGTGGTCAGAGAATCAAACATGTTTCAGGGCAGGGAGTGTTTCAAAGCTGCTGCAAGATGTAGCAGGGACACGTCCGCTCAGGGCCTGAGCCTTGCCTCACACCATTTAAGCTTCACTTTCATAATAATCCTCTAGCGCTTCAAACGAGAGAAGAGTCTTTCTGCCATGCTTTGTAGAAAGGTTCAGGACGCCCCAAATGCCCCAGTAACGCTTCAGTAGCCAGTGCTTTGGCACCTTAAACAGACTTGCTGCGAGCACGGTTCAGAAAATCTCCAATCTAATTTAGAGGCTTCAAGAGAGGGTCTGCACTTTCCCCAGCTAACGAGAGTTTTCAGCAGAACTGTAAGAGCAGCTGGCGGAGGCACTGGGGTGCTCTCCTTTGGGAAGCAGAGTGCATGCCACATCACCGCTACCCATTCAGACCAGGCGACATAGTACTACGCACCACGCATTACATGCCACATGCAGCTTCCAAAGGGTAAGTGAGCTTCGTTCCAACATAAACACCTCTGCTTGTAATGCCAAAGAAAGATTTGACTCTAAAAATGGAGAAAAATTAAGAGAATTGAGCTTTTTAGTGGGAACCTTACTACCTCCAGTAACAGTTCACAGAAGAAGTAGTTCAGACACAGCAATGATGGCCATTACCCTGAGGTACGTTGAGTCCACAGTCAGCACCAGGCAGCGGCCAGATAAAGCAGTTACCGTTTCAGGCATCCGATTTCCATGGAGTCTCTTTTGGCTTCCTCTGCAGGTGGTGAAAAGAGCTGGGGTTTTTCCGGAGGGTGATTCAGCATCTCTCCTTCCCTCCGGTGACTGCCAAGAGAGCGCAGCTGCCAGCACCAGGGTGCGTATCCTCCCCTGCCTGATACAGCCCGCACTTTACAGCTCTTTAACAGATTGCTGCCGCGCTAGGAGTTCAGCGACACTCCAGTGCTTGCGCATTCCCCATGGAAATAGGCACTCCAACGCAGGATGAGCTGTTTAGCTTCCTGTGTTTAGAGCAGTTCCTCTTTCCTTGATTAGCCTCAAAGCATAATTAAAATCTGCTGCCAACAAGACTTCCTGCTGCTAGAAAAAATGTCTGCAATAAACCACTTTTAAACCGGAAGCGATCTAATTTGTGGCAAGGCTTTATTACAACTCCCATTGTATAACAAATAACAGGTGAAACCCTGGAGTGCGGCCCTGGGCTAGGAAAGCTGCGACGGAAGGGAACCTCGGACCGAGCAGCACGGGATGAAGCCTGGGTTTTTCCCCCCCCTGCGTCGCACTGATTCCCCCCCGGCTGCCGTTGTGTCGTCGCCTGGCGCAGGAAGCCCACAGCCGGCCCCACTCCCCCGGACCCCATCCCGGTCCCGGCTGTCAGCCGAAATGTGCCCAACACTGAGCGTGCCAGACCCCTAGAAACCTTCTCGCTCTTGTTCACCGGAGCCAATTCGGGTTTTTAATTCAGTGTTTAGTTTACAAACCATTCCGTTCTCCTGCGAACAATAGCAATGTCCTGGTTATTGATTAACAAAAGAGCAGCAGTTCTGCAAGCTGCTGAGCGCAGGGACGTTGCCCACACACAGACACACAAACTGCCACAGCGTATTTCTGACAAGGGAGGAGAACATCATCATCCCGTACAACAGCAAGGCCCATCCGGTGCAGCTGTTATGGTAACAGACATCTCTGCCTGGAATGATCACGCACATCCAGAACTGCTCTCCAGGTCTTCACCAATGGCACTGACGGGTTCAAGGGCCTGGAAGTGCACAGGAAAACCTTTCCCTGGGGTCAGTGGTTCACAGCGGGCTGAGGCGGGAGGTGGCTGGGGGCTGATGGCCTTTGGGTGATGTGCACCAGGGAACGCGGGGCCCTCCTTGTGCAGCCAAGATGAGTGGGACAGGAAAAACTCCTGGCCCTGCTGTGGAAGGGGGAGGTGGGGAAGACAGGTGCAGATGAGACAACACATAACAGCTTACCATTCTTAAAGCAACAGAAATGGCTTAGTGCATTATACTACCTCAGATATCCAGAAATTCCTCAGGCTTCTGAGGTTTCTAAAGTTTTATCTTCCTAAAGAAAGCTGCACCAATTCAGCCGTAGCTTCTTAAAAAAAAGAACCTCCGCCAACTGAGAGGCACTTACATATTAATTTTTTTGCATTAGAGACTGACATAATGAGCAAATTTACAGCGCATTGGTTTGCTCCTGTCCTGCGGACAAAGGTCAAAGATCTCTGTCAGCAGCCTGCTCACCACTTCTGCCCTAAATCAAGTCATTCTGCATTGCTTGCGTAGGAGTACAAAGTAGTCACAGGGGTTCACCAAATGTTATCTGAAAACTTTATCTTTCTTCTCTTACTTTGTATCGTATACTAGCTCATATTTTACCTCATCAGCAAAGGCAAATTTCTGCATTGCTTTATGGGAAGTGTCCATGCTCCTTTAACTGAACAAATGAAAGAGCAGATGCCCCACAGCCACTTGGCAGCAAGAGCACAGGAGCAGCAGGGCCCTTTGGGCACTTTGGGACTTTATGCGAAGAATCTCAAGTACCCACAGTATGAACTGCAAACATCTAAAGGCACCAACTAAAGAAATCGTTCTTTCCAGCATATTACATGGTCCTGTGACAGGAAGCTGACATTTGCCGTGCAAAATCCAAGAAGGTTATGCTGTCCCTAATTCCACTGCCCCTGAAGTCAACACAAAAAAACCCCCTTCTCAGTCTGAAGGACAGGGCTGTGCAGGGATCGAACTGCATCGGGCTTTAAATGCCTTTCTGTGTTTGCAGTGGAAACACACCCAGTTCCAGGCAGTACCTATTTCATGTCTATTTCAAGTCTGAAAATATAGTGTCATTACTCTGTCTACACGATGTTACGTTTCTTTTCCCTGCATACTTTCTAAATTTCTTCTCCCTGCATGCTTTCGAGCATTTAATACCCCATAATGCGAAACCCAGCTTCTCGCATGAGACGTACTTCAGATGAAGAATGCTGTCCAAGGCCAATAAGATTTGGATGCCATTTATTGAAAAGCTAATCTAGCATTGTAATCAGTTAAAGAAATATTTTCCCCAGCAACAATTTGGTGCCCAGGAGTAGATGAGCTGTTCCAGCCCATTTTGTCTGTCACACATTTTGTCACGAAGGAAGGGTCTAACTTTTGCTAACAGCAATTCCCAAGCTCAGCTGTGTCAAGGAACCCTCTAAGCAGGCATGAATATGGATAAAGCTGGGAGAGATGAAATAATAGCTCTAATGAAAAAGGGAATTAAGTCTTTCTTGCATTTTCTGTGTTCAAGCAACCTACCAAGTAATGACTAACATCCTTTCCGAAACTGCTCTTCTCCTTTAAAGCTTAAATGGCATCATCTGAGAAACCTTTTATTCCATTCTCTCAAACAGAAATAAGAATTTGTTCATAAACACGTGCCAGTAAATAAGTTTGAGTAGCCTCATTCCTTATTTCTTACCCTATCAGCTTGTTTAATTACATCGCTGCCAGTGTATGAAAGATTATTTAATACTGATTTTCCCTTGAATGGTAAAAAATGCTCAACACCTCTCCCAAAACACACCTACTCCACTTATTAACAGTTAGTACTTCTAAATATCCATCAGAAATATTTTCCCTAGATTTTATTCTACTTGTGAAGCATAAAACCAAATATACTATTTTATTGTGGAAGTTTAGTTTCTATGGCCATCACTAACAAGAGAGTGCATTCCTTGCACAGAACAAGTTCTACTATAATAAAAAGGAGCTGGTCACAAGAAAAGCAGATCACTGGCTTTGACTGGATCGACTGAATACCTGAAGGTAACTTTGCTGGATAATAGAATTAATTCTTGCTTATTGTTGTCCTTCCCCTTGGAAAAGATTTGAAGTTTTGAATTAAATGAACATCACTGATTTAAGTGCCTACAGCCAACAGAGCCTGGGGAACAGGGTGACTTGAGGGTGAATAGGTTTTTCAGTATTCCCTAGGTATCTACACATCATGCCGATCAACAGGATAAGCAGACTCTGGATACACATATTCTCTTCTGTGGGTCAGTTACAACAGTTACCTGTTACAGTTATCATGAAAAGCATTATACATAAGTAGCAGCTTCGTGGATTTTACTCAGGAACAAATAAAAATTTAAAGCCAAGCATTCACTGAACTGGAGCAATATACTTACGCAGTATAGCAGGTTATCAGGCTTGTCTTT